TTTCCATGTGTCTATGGCTGCCTCCACTTCAGTGGTATAGTTGAGTAGCTGGAAGAGAGGCTGCTGGCTGTAGAAGCCTAAACTATTTACTCTCTGTCCCTTTGCAGAAAAAGTTTACTGACTTCTGCAGTAAGGTCTGGAAATCGAATCATGATTTTTCACTGCAGTTCTATGAGCCGTTTGACAGCTCTAGATGGTTGTTGTGCTGGTATTATTATTATTTAGCACAAGTACAACTTTTGTAAACTTCTTATCTTTTCCATTCTGGGCTGGGAGAACATGCTCAATTAGCCACCAGCAATGATCCTGCAGGTCAGCCCACCCTGCTTTCCACTCCTGCTGTTGCTGCCCTTTTCAGTAACTGCCTAGTTTGACTCTCTCAGGAGTTCCCCAGTCTCCCCTGGGACTCTGTTGGGATTCCTGGAGGAGGAGCCTGCCCAGAGTGGTAGTCCTCCACCTGTGGCCCGAGGGCTTTCTGCTCTCACAGCAGCCTACAATTTGTTGAAATTTTCTAGTTGAATCTTCTCTCTGATTTATAATGGCATTTGACAGCATAAATTCAGGTAGCATATAAATTCAAGTTTAGATCTTGATTTTCCTGTAGGTGCTGCCTCTGTCCAGCTTTGGACCTAGTTGTTCGCCCTATGTCTTAATTCACTTATGGGTCAAGAAAAGTCATTAATTTGCAATATACTATCTTCCCTGTCAGGGGAAGAACCTGTTTTCTGACTCTCTATGCATAATTTGGACACTGAACACTGAAACAATTTATGCCCTACGTAGTTTACTTTTTGAGGCACTGGTGGTTGAACCCAGGGCTGTTCCACTGAGCTACCTTCCCAGCCCTTTTTATTTATATTTTATTTTGAGATAGGGTCTCACTAAGTTGCTAAGTTGCTCAGCCTAGGCTCAAACCCATGATCCTTCTGCTTCAGCCTCCCAGAGTGCCAGGATTACAGGCATGTGATACCACTCCCTCCTGGCACTCTTTCATTGTTTTTATTAGTATAACTTTATTATTCCAGGATGGTCTTGCTCTGACAAATAACTTGATTGCTAGTTACAGGAACTTCCTGTGCTCGCTTCAGCAGCACATATACTAAAGCTGGAACTTCCTGAAAAATCCAGCAACTCTTCAGTAAAACCATCAATGGTTATTGCTTAATACACTGAATCCCTCACTTCAAAATCCTCACCTTGTGGTTTCCAATGATAGATCATGATCCTGAGCCATAATCCTTCCCCAATTTTAATCATGCTCTCCCCTCCCCCTGCATTACAAGACCTACCTCAGTACCACCTCCTAACTCTCAGTAAAACCCTACCTTGTTTTGCTCCTTAAAGACTCCACAAAAGCTCTGCCTTCTCCCTCATCAATGTGAGCAATAAGCTTGGCTTTGTCTCATCAACCATGTGACGTTTGGAAAGTTAGTATTTGACCCAATTTTAAGTCACATCTTATCATGATTATGTTTTATCTCTTTCCTGTTTTTCCATAGGGTTGTTTGCTTCTTTGTTTTCAAAACTTCTTTGTATATTAAGGGTATCAGTTCTTGTGGTATAATTTGCTAATATTTATTCCAAGTTGTCATGTGTCTATAATTTGTCTTTTGTGGATTTTTTTCATTGAAAAAAATTTTTTACGTAGACAGATTTGTCAGCTTCTTACTGTGTCTGAGTGTTAAATTATGGAAAATATCTCCATATTTATGGTTTATAAAGAGTGTTGTAGTCACCTTCATAGTTGCTGGTGCAAAATATACTGGACACCTGCAATTTAAAGGAGGAGAGGTTTATTTTGGCTTATGTTTTAAAGTTTCAGTACTTGCACGGTCAGCAGCATGGAGGAACGACCTGGGTGGAGGAAAGCTGCTTACATCATGGCAGACAGGAAGCAGAGTGAAGAGAGGACCAGGGAAGGGAGAGACACCCTTCCAGGTCATGCCTACAGTGGCTCCCCTGCCCCAACAGGACCCTGTCTCCTGACAGCAAGTCACCTGTAATGCTTCCAAGGTACAGTCCTCTTCCAAAAGCCCTACTTATGAGCACATGATGCTTTGTAGAGCTGACGAAATTAAACCGGAGACACGGAGGAATTCACCATGCTTTCTTGAAATACTTGTGGTTTTTGCAAATTGGTTTGTTATCTTCAATGAATGTATCTTGAGACATAGAGAGAATAACGGACTTGCTAATTTTATCTTTTTTCACATGGCTGCTATCCTGAATACTGGAATATTACTGTGACTGTCAAATTGGGTTATCCCCGATACCAAAATATAAAGTCCAGTTTGTCCTTGACTAATTTTACATGTCTTTGTGCTGATTCACAAAAAATAGCCAATAAGAAGAAAACAAGCCAACTCTAAAGTTGACTTGGGAGATAAAATGTGTGAACTAATACCCCCGCCAAAATATTTTTGCCAAAAAAGTAACGATAAAGGAATTCTTACCTCATAAACAACTAAAAAATAAAAATGAAAACAGCCCTGGTAGTTGAAATCGAGGCTCACGACAAAGGATGATATTTAGATCGCGGAGAGGTAGGATAGAAAATACTTCTAAATTTTATCAAGACAACTGCTAGCAATTTAGAAAGAGCATTTTTGATTTGTTTGTATATCTACGTGATGATATAGTCAGAGGAAATTTGAGGCCTTCCCTTTGGACCAGGGATTTACTAGCTTAATGCTTCATATAATTAGACTCCTTTTGGAGGATCACCAGAATGAATTAAGAATTATAGACCTAAAGGAACACACAATTTTATTGTGATCAATCATGTTGATATAAGAATAAACAGTAAATGTGCTTGATTGCCCAGGGTGAAATAGAGAAGCAAACTTGCTGGGAACTTCTGGTAATAATCTGTTACACCCAGATTAGCTCTGCCTTAACTTAGCAATGCTCTGCTGTCCAGCTGTGTTGAGTGACCAGCGAGTGCTGCAGTGCTGGGAATTCTGGTGTACGTACTCTGTGCCCCTAACCTGAAACAGCTGCTCCCCAGGTCCCAGGCCCTCAGGCTGTCCAGCTGGGAGTCACCTGATGGGTGTAAGTGCACAGTACCTTCTGGCTTCCCCACTCCCAGGCCCAGCTCTCTAGGCCAACCGTGGCTGAAGGCAGCCGTAAAGAAGGCTGTTTTTTTTGTCAGTTTAAAAACACTGATGTAGGTGTGTGTTTTGTCATTAGATCTAACCCACTGTACACACATGCCAGATGTGTTGTAGGAACTGCAGAATCCAAGAAAACCTGGAAAGTAGTGAATGGGAGAAGGGAAAGGACTGGTGGTTGCTAGAAGAAGTCTGGGGAAAAGGAAGCTTTTTTTTTTCTTGGCTTTGTTTCTGAAGATGAGAGTGATTTGAGGCAATTATACTGAAGGGAGGGAAACTTTTTAAAAAGGGTTGAGACAAGCCATGCCTGGAGGCACACACTTAAAATCCAGAATGCTTGGAGGCTGAGGCAGGGGGATCTCAAGTTGGAGCCAGAGATCTAGACAACAACTTGGTGAGGCCTTATCTCAATAATAATAATAATAATAATAATAATAATAATAATAACAACAACAACAATAGTAATAATAATAATTTAAATCCCATAGTGCAAAAAAAGTTTAAGACAGGAAAAAATTCTTTCCACCATCTCATCGATAACAACTTCAATTATTGCTCAAGCTACTAATCCCAGACTTTTCCTGTAAGACCCATACTATAACTATGGACAGGACTTTAGCCTTATCTGTGATGTCTTAAAATGAGTCTCGATTAGTGTACTTAATAAATATTTTGAAATTAATTTAAACCCATAGTCTGCAGGAGGGAACAAGTTATAAAGAATACAGCCCAGGGTCTGGATGACGTAAGATTAGTCTCCAATAGACAGGAGTGAGTGAGGAGTAATAATAAGTAAAAATACAACAGAATTAGTGTTCAAAATGCAGCAAGAAGAAGCCTCTTTCTCTGTGTATTGTGTGCACAGCCTTCCCCTCCAGACATTGGTGCAAGTGTCCTTTTCTAACTGGGAGTGGGAGATACTTCTAGTTTTAGTGATAGGAAGCCGGGTCTCATGCTCCACCTATTGGTTGATTGAATTTGGGAGAACTGCCCATATAGAGCCACTTCTGGCAACTTGGCAAGCTTATTTCTGTGAATTCTGAATTTTCTGCCATCTTCTAATTTGAGCCTGCAAGAGTTGCCCACGGGTTCGGCTTGCTGTTATTTACTTGGCAGAGGTGTACTATAGAATGAGTTGGCTTGGCCTGAAAGACTTGGAAGAGAATGGACAAACTAGAGAGGTGATCATCTGCTGAGTGTCAGAGTGTGGACCGGAGAGAGGGATGAAGATGGTGTGTGATGCGAGAAGTTACGGGCCAACTGTCTGTAAGAAAGACCTGGTAGCATCAAGGCCTCACCTGATGTTAATAACTTCTCACTATCCTGTTTCTTTTAACTGCAGTAACTTTATTAATTCAGTACTACTGAAAAGCGATTGTCTAAATTTTCCCAAGGACGTGTGCATTTCAAACAGCTTGCTTTTTAATATCAGTGATTCAGGAACAGTCAATATTTGTACTGCCACCCTTTGTTATTTGAAGATGCAAAGCATTGTGTATCAGAGTAAAATGCAGGCAGTTTCCCGTCACCTCACCGTGCTTATTGTTTTCTTGCACAGACATTGTCTTAGCCTTTAGTTGGGAAAGTGAAGCAAGTGTACTGGCTCCCCTCAGAGTGACCCTGAAGACAGCTTCTGGAAAGAAACTGGCAGGGTGTGAATCTGAGCTTCAGTGTCTAAGCCCTGTGACCCTCAAGTCGTTCATCCTCTTTCAGCCTCGCTCCCATCACCTTGTGTAATGTGTGTAATGACAGCACTGCTGCTCTGCATTATTGTGAGGATGAAACGAGACAATAATATGTGAAACAATCCCTTGCCCAGTGCCCAGGATCTAGTCAGTGCTGTGCGCATTAGACCTTGAAAGGAACTCTTGAGAGCATTGATAGAAGGATGGCAAACCTCTGGCTTATTTCCCATCAGCACCAGGCCAGAAATAAGACTAGTCTCACAAAGTATTGGGAAGAGTTTTCAATTAGCAATAATCACGCGTTGGATAAACCTCATTGGCTATGATACCGCCACCATGCAAGGCTAATAATCTCAGAGTGTTCGCTGCAGTCACGTTTTCAGGAGCAGACAGATTCTGTGTAGTTGCCTGAGGGACAAATAAACTTCCTGGTCTCAGGCTATCATCTTGTGTTTGTAGGGTCAATGTCAAGGAGTTTGGCGAGAGTCTGGGCGAGATGCATGTGGCCCAAACCTGTTTGAAAACACCTGTGGAACCAGACCGCTGCTTGACCTTGTTTGACGTTATAGCCTTTACGTTCAATTTGCTTACCCTAATTCTCATGGGGTTAAATACACTTTGGCTTTTGTTCTCTGTTTAGGTGAGGGAGGAGGATAAAGAGCCTCTATCCTGTGAAACCCTGGATCATGAACAAATCCATAGTGGCTATAGACCAGCCCTCCAGATGCCCTTGGGCAACTAATGGCCAGTGGAACTCGGGGCCATGTAGGTCACCCAACCTGTTACAACTAAAGTTGATAGTCCAATTTATAAAAGTATTTTCCATTCCCTTTGGCAGGGACAAGGGGAAGTATATTCATTTAGCGGCCAAGAGAATCAGTGTTGCCCTGAGCTCCATGTGGAATGAAAGGCTCTGCTGCAATGTAGGCCTTGAGAAAATGTCACTGACCTGGATTCTCCACTGAACCGACACCATTAAGAGCTGCTGATCCAGTTTCCACATGGCCTTCACTTTCCCTTTTGTATTTTGATTGCCTAGGTTATTGTACTAAGAGACAGGGGTTCTGTTAGGCAGAAGGCTTGGTATGAATTGCTCTAATGCTCTGTTAGGAACAGTTGAGATTTAGGACTGAGCCTGAGATGCTCTTGGATCATCTGGGACATAGAGTGAATTCTTTATTTTGAGGAAATTTAGTTAAAATAAATGTCATTTTTACACAGTGCTACCTTTTAGTCCCTGGTGGTGGCCCCTGAGACCCTCGTGGGGGTGGGGCAAGGTGGGCACTTGGGGTGGATTGGTAGAAATGGTGTGAGCTGGGTACAGTGTGGGTGGGTGGGGGAGTGGACTGAGGTGCAGGGAACCCTGGGCAGGATAACAGTGGAGAGCCCCTTTAAAGAATTGCTGAGTGTTGTGAGCCAGCGATGCAGAGCACTGTCCAGCAGTGCCTCAAACCTGAAAGAGCAGCGGGGTGGAGATGGGGCAGAGAGAAAGGAAGGTCGCCAAGACAAGAGTCTGATCAAGGCAACGTTTATTGCCGGCAAGCATCAGCCTTTTAAAGCAAAAAAAAAAACACAAACTATTATGGGATGGGGTTACCATAGTAAATGAAAATTCACACAGGAAAAGAGCAAACAGGCTCAACAAAAACAACCACCATGGGTAGTAGTAACCCAGACAACCATACATCTGAAGGTCAGAGACAAGAAACTGCAACTTTCAGGAATTCCACAAAGGAAACACACCACCTTCTAAACTGGAGAAACTTAACAAATATGGAGTTACTAAAGTTAACAATATTTACAACTAGTACTCATGATTCCCACAGCTGAGTGTTTATTTAAGAAACAACCTGTCAAAGTTAGTTTGTCAGGGAGAGCATCAAGGTACATGTGTCACCACTCAGAAGCTCTGCTCTCTGGTCTGGACAGTTCAGCTTTGCATCCAAATACAGTCATGTGTCACTTAACAAAGGGGACATATTCTGAGACGTGTGTCATTAGGTGCTTTCTTCATTGTGCAATATCATACTTAACTAAGTCAGCTACGATGTCAACCCTGTGTGTGATCTGGGGACCACTGTTGCCTCTGTGGCTCATCATTGACCATAATGTTGCTCACTCCCTCAGCAGAGCCCAGCTCACCTGCGTTACAGAGCACACCTCTTGGGGTTTACCCCTGTGGCAAGCAGTCAATACAGTCCTGGAAGGAGTTGCCATAACTGAGGTCTTTCCCATGTCATGGCATTTCTAAGGGCTTCGGGGATCCTTTCCAAGGCTGCCCATTGCTGCCATGTTGAGAGGAGAAACAGAAGGCTCTACAGTGTCAAGCTCCCGCCTGCTCTGAGGCTGTGCATGGGCTCGGCCTCAGAGCCTGGATGGTGTTGGCAGGCCATGGGGGAACCGCTGATGAACACAGAGTGACTTTACAGAGGCAATTACAATGTTCTGGAATTAGGTGGAGACAGTAGTTTCACATCTTTGTGAATGCACTAAAAGCCATTGGATGGCACCCTTCGTAAGGGAGAATGTTTATAGTATGTGGATTATATTTCAATGAAAGCAACTCTGAATATATCAGAAGGGAAGGGAGGAAGTCGTATGACTTTGGCTCTTTCCACAGTATAACCATCATAATTATGATATTATGTCACCTTATCTCCTGTCAAAGGCAAACACCATAAAATCAAAGCCATTTGACCAGCCATGCCTCAGAGTTTCTGGGAATCTCTAGGGCTAGTTTTGCTAAGTTCAGTCACTTAGTCCCAGAGAAGGTAAAAACAGGAGCAGTACACTAGGTGGAAGTCAGGGTCAGTGCCTGTACGCAATAGCACAAGCAAGTGAGAATTACCATGAGAACAACACGTCTCTGAGTCACTAGTGAACAGGTAAACAGAAGGAAGTCAGGTGGGGTTACAGCACTGTGTGCGGTAGCGCTGTTCCTGAGGGGGGACCAGCACTGTGTTCCCCTCATTGTTGTGTTTGGAAGCGGGTTGAGAGGGGCCTCATTTCAAACAAGTGACTGACTTCATATTCTGAAGGCAGTGTGGCTGCACCAGCTTGTTAGAGCTTCCTACAGCCACAGTAATACCTGGAGCCTGCTGAGGGCGTGGAGCTTCACCAGGATCACTCCAGAATGAGTGGGAAATTCAACAGTAGAATCTCCAAGGTATTCTGCCTGCACCTGTCATCCCTCAGGGTGGTCGGGTACCCTCCCTGAGCCCCAGTCTCTTCCCCTGGAGGGTAGTGATATTGGTAGTTCATTTCTGAAAGGTTGCCAGAAAGATAAAAGTGGTTACTGCCTATCCACACTGTCTGGCACAGAGTAAGGTGTCAAAAATACAGTAGTTCTCCTTGGCTAAGAGGTTGCTTGGGGAGCTGTTATGGCCTTATTGAATAGAGACAATGCAGTGCCAGAAAGTGCTTCTTCTGAGAGCACTGGTCTCTTGCCAGCTCTGTTGGAGGAATCCCTGTTTCATGATCTGGGCTACTCGGCCGTCAGAGTTGTCATAGAGATAGAATGCAGAGGAGGCTAATGAAGCAAAGCAGAGGATGGGGGCTTCTGGAGCCCCTCTCGAGAAGGCTCAGGGTGCGAACCCTCCTGCCTTGTCTTCCGAAATGATGAGCCAGCTCATGGCATCCTACCTGGCTCACAAATTACATTTTCTTTCTGTAGAAATGCCAGGCTCCTTTCTGTGAGGGATGAAGCCCTTGAGACTGGTCCCAGTCCCTGCCTGCCCTCCCTTCTGCTGCTCCTTCCCTCCTCAGCCCTTCCCCTGCCCTGGGTGTGCCCTGTGGAAACTCTCTGGCTACGGGTTGGGTGTGGTTTGTCCACCAGGGGTGTTTGTGCTGGAAGCCTGGCTCCAGTATGAGGAGGCTGAAGTGGTAGAACCTTTAGAGGTGGGGCCTCATGGAAGGAGCTCAGGCCTGGGGATCACTCTTGGCGCAATGGGAGTTTGACCAAGTGGATCAGATCTGATAAGAGAGGATTAGAGTTCCTGTGAGAGGATGGGATGTTATAAACCAGCAATCCTAGCTCTTCTCGCTCTCCTGCTTTTTTTTTTTTTTTTTTTTTTTTTTTTTGGTACCGGGGATCAAACTACTGACCTGCTTTTTTGCTCACATACATGCCCCTTCTGATCAGGGCTGATTCCCATTCTGCTGCTGCTCTGCCAGGCTGTGATGAAGCTGGGGCTCCTTTGGCAGGATGTCGGGGCTGTGCTGTTTCGCTCTCCAGCCACCAGAATTATGAGCCAAGTAAACCTCCTCCCTAAAGTACAATCTAGCCTCCGTTATTTCATTATAGCAATACAAAGCCTCCATGGCACCTGCGTGCCTTTGTATGTGCCAGTCCCTTGACCCAGATTACCCTGACTGCTAACCTCCCATATCCACTCGTCCTGGAAGGTCAGTTTCAGCTGCTGCTCCCAGAAGATCAACTGGAGTTGATCTTCTTTTAGTTCTACCAGCCACCATGGCCACACATGACTCCTCCTTGGTTCCCTTTACTGTTACTAACCCATCAGTAATATTTTGCACATATTAAATAGGTGGTAATTCCTTCGAAATGTTTCAGAATCTGATCTGTCTCCACTGCAATTTCAGCAAGAAGTTTGTGTATGCTTTTACTTTATTGCTGATTCTGTGCATGCCAAGAAGTACTGTCCTTGATTTTATAGGCTGGTTACTATGTTTCCTGTACCCACCTTCTCCAAGAAGTGCACTTAAACATACTCCTAACTCTCTCCTCTTATTGGGGAATGAAGCTGTCACGCCAGGGTTTACTGTTTGTCATTCTTTCTTTCTCTCCAAGATACGTTGTAAATCCTTTTCCTCCTGGCCTGCCACATGCCCAGTCAGCCCTTCTCACCCCAGCAATCTTTTCTGTAATTGTAGTCCTGTGGCACATTAGTATGGATCAGTCAGTGACATCTAACATGACAGTTGGTCTCTCCAGGCTCTGTCACTAGTGATGTCTTGCTGTCTTAGTTCGTGGGAGCATACTCTGAGAAATTCACACAGTGACAAAACCGCCAAGTGATACATTTCTCAGAGTATGTCCCTGTTATTAAGTGATGCATGGCTGTGTATCTGAAGACGTTACACATTTTGCCCAGTATGTGGAAGCAAATAAGCGCACACCAAAATTTGGCAGAAGGATGTGTGGCAAGGATGCATTTACCTTGCTTAATTGTCTTCACCGGGCACACGATGGACAAATGCTGATTAAATTATGAGGAAATGAGATATGGGGAATCCATCTTCCTGCCCATAGGCATTTTCTCTTGGAGAACAGGGCTATCAGTTATCCAGCTCTTTGTCTCCAGTGCAGCAGCATTAGAGGTTCCC